TGTCTATGCACGCTGGACCGAGACATTTTGCACGTGTAGTTTGGAGAGATTGAAGAGGCAATCAGGCGTAGGCATGAGGATAGGAGCAAGGTCTTGGAGCCTGGAATTGAACAGGGCCAGGGAGCCGACAGCACAGAGGGCAGAGGGCAAGGGAGCTGCAGACTCAAAACAGCCGTAAAACGCGCGTCAGCTTTCCTCAGACTTATGTGATTTCCAGCTGCACTCTCAAGTGTTTATATTTCAATGTTGAAGGAGCGAGATGTTTTAATTATTATAATTCATGGCTGTGACGGTGGAAGCGCTGTCAATGATGATGATGATGGCGAATGTGGTAATTGGGCTTTCGTGTGATTGATCACGATAACGTCGGTGGCATTTCATCTTTACTGCACACACATCTCATTTTCATAGCCCTGGAAATCGAGGTCATCAGTTACATGATTACTACAACTATACAAATGAGTCGCGCTTAAATTGTAATTTTAATGTGATTTTTGAATGAGACAGTGTGGTAAAATTTTGTTTTACCATTCCAGCTTTGTGCATTTTCCCAACGACTTACCGGCTCACATCAGTGGGAGGTTGCTCATTTTCCTCCACTGCCTCATTGTCTAAAATTGCCTTTAAACAGCCATCTCGGCTGTCGACTTCCTGGCCCTTGTTCAAGTCCAGGCTCAACACCTTCCCCTTCTCTGCCAATGACCAACGGCCTCCCTTCCTAAAACAAATGTCCTCTGTTCCTCTACAGCCATCCTGACACGTGTTTCCCATGTCAGGATGGGGGTTCGCACAGCGACTCGTATAAGAGGCCCATAGACTCACATTGAGACCTGTGATGGGCTGCCTCTGTCTTGAACATAACTATTCCCGCTGTTTCTATAGAGCCCCTTGAAATGCGGCCACATTTAGATGCTGTATTAATCCAAATTGTTTCGGATTATATTACGTGTTTCATTTACCTTTTAAGAGTTATTGTTCTCAGATTCAATATTTCCACACATCTCACCTTCAAATTTGTCTGGTTCCCTGAATTTTTTTTTTCATGACGGTGTCACTGTGTACATGTAACATGTAATCTAAAGCCTAGTTCACATTAGCGGGTAACAAGATCGCTATTATTCATCGTTGACATGTAGCTGTAAATGAGGCACGCGTGGTTATGCAGTGGCATTGGGGCAGGGGTTGTGGTGTTCTTCCCTTTGACGTCGGTTACTTGTGGTAGAGAAAAGCCAAAGCGATTTCCTGCTCAATGGACATTGAAGCATTGGTGCTCACCTCCTGTTTACAGCCCTGCAGAGCCAGTGGTAGAAATTCCACAATTCTACAGTGGGGTCAAGTCTGTCCACTGTTGACTTCCTCACTAAAATGATACCAGTTTTATCGACCCCGGAGGGATGATGGGCTCAGCGAAACCCCCAACCAGGATTTTAACACGCAACGTTTTGACTGCGAGCTACTCGCCCTGCTGGCGACCCACCTGGCCGGTTTGGTGGGGCAAACGGGGTGGTTGAATATCCAGAAAGGGCAAAAAAGGCATTCAAAGAAAAAGCGCCCGTTTAAACGGTGATTATTAAAATTCACACTCATCATTATTCTGTGCAAAACTCAAGTGAAGTTCAAATCGCGCTCGCCTCATCACTGAGTCAGCTCCTGCTGTGACCGAAGTGGGGCACCCACAATGATCCAAATGCCTGTTCTCAGCAACAAAAAGGCCCCTTTTATCCTTCTGCAGTCACCCTATGGGATTATTTAGCTTGTGAACTACGGGCCGGTGTGACATTTGAGCCAAATATAAATTCTACTTTATATATACAGTTTGATGCTAGTTTTATTTCCCTGGATGGTGGCTATCGTCCATGACTCCGTGCCTAAGCTGTTGCACGTAGGACGACGCCAGGTGAGAAAACGGAGCGCCCTCGCTACATTCTGATAAGCGAAATGTCATCGAGGCACGTGTGCCTGGCATTGTGGTGGATGGGGTTATAATGACTTTGGCTTCCAGGACTTTGGGAAAAGTACAAAGGGTCTCTGAAAACCCCCAAAAAGGTCACGGCAGCACGGGGCGCATAACAGTCGGACGTGCCACTTGAAGCTACCGGGATATTTTAGAAGCTTGAGCAAAGACATGAAAGTAATAAAAAAATAAAAAATATATCTAGTAAACTTTTATTACTTGACTGCTTTTCCAAATCCTTCCAGAACACACGGCACAAATAGTAACTTCCCATGTGTGGTTAGGATTAAACTCCCTGAAAGGGCTGCCAGAGGTAGCTCTGTGATATCCGCTTCCGCGGGCCATTCTCTTACACGAAGGGCTACGTTGCCCTGCAAGAGACCCGAATGGATGGTTCGTCTCGTGACGTGCCGCCGATTGCAGCATCGGAATAAAGTTGGGAGAACATTTTTACGAAAGTTTAAGAAGGCTCTGGGTGCTATTGGATCATTACTATTCCCCCTTCGCCTCACTCTTCTGCATTGATTTTTATTTACATCAGTCGAGGTCATTTTACTCTTTGATAATTAAGGAGATTAAAAAAAATGTTGAGAACTGTTTGAGTTAAGTTCTATCAAAATGTCAGCAGCTTATTTATTTTTACATTCCGTATTGACCAATGCAGCAGCGGCTGGTGGGCCACAGAAGCCACAGTTAATTTGTGAATCTTAATTGATTGACGATATGCGAGTGCGTGCACAGCAAGGCACAGCAAGGCGCTTCTCCCCAGGTCTTCCTGGGCAGCTGTTCTCTGGATCTGCCTCAGTTGCAAGTTAGCAAATGATTAGGCCCCAACAAGCCCGCAAGTCCACAGTGATCTGCTGCCCCTGAAATCATGTCGCACAGCATATCACGAAATAAGAAATCAGCGTTCACAGTGCGCCGATACATATGTACGTACGCGCGCACACACACACGCACACAAACGCACGCACGTGTGTCTCTGTCATATGGACGGGGCTATACGACATGGAGCAACCGCTGCACAATCTCCATAGCAATGACGTAATCTACATGCAAATTGTTCTCAGTGGAGCAGAAATGATCCAAAGCAATCTTATTCACAAGCGAGAGACCACTGTGAAAACAACGGCAATCGGCTGAAACATCATCTGGTTTTATAGATAGATACGTTTTCTACTGAGCTCCACTGTATTTGATGCACGTGCCGAGGTGTTAATTGACGCCTGTTCCCCGCTTGCCAGCACAATATCACGCATCACACACCGTGTTCATTCGCGGGCGATCGAGAGAAAAATATAAAACTCAGCGATTAGTACACACGTCCGTAAACTCGGGCCTCGGAGCCGACGTGACCTGGACGGTGCCGGACACTATGGAAGCCGGTCGAGAAGCGTCTTTCATTGGAGGCTGCGGACTCGTGCACGCCGGCGACTCGCATGGAGGAGAGGCTATCGCCGGGTGGTCAATCGTCGTCACACTCAACGCTCGCACGCTCACGCTTTGCGTGCGCGTGCAGGGTGATGGAGCGGTTAGCGCTGCGCTGCGCTTCGAACCCGGCACCCCGAGTTAGATTTTCGCTTACGGCCAACACCGGTGACGATTATTTGAACCTGTTCTGGGCATCCCCTAGGTAGAATCAGCGTCAAATGAGTGCGTAGTGCGTTCTGTAAACATTGCCACAAAGGTGGTCGGGCGTGGTGCTGGCTACCCACTCCCTCGTGTACCGTTCCAGCCTTCATAGGTACTTGCTAACAGCACTTCCCCCAATAGTCTGTTAAGGCTATACGGGGGATCTTTGTATTTTCTGTACGAGTGTTGGGCAGAGCGATAGTGTGGCGGTTAGCGCTATGCTGCACTACGAACCCGGCGGCCCTAGTTAGATTTTCGCTAACGTCCAAAACTTGTGACGATTATTTGAACCGGTCTTGGGCCTCCCCTAGGTCAACTGAGCCTTAAATGAGTACCTGGTGTGGTGTGTAAACATCGCCATTAGGGAGACAAAGGCGGTCGGTCGTGGTGCTGGCCACCCACCCCCTCGTGTACCGTGCCGGCTTTCATAGGCGCACGCTAACAGCACTTGCCCCAATATCCTGGATAAGCTTTACGGGGGATCGTTGTCTTTGTTAGGTACCGTGTCCAGATTAGTGTCAGACAAACAATCAATGGGCTCGCGAGCATAATCTGTATGGGATAATTACTCACGATCAATGCTGCAGTGCGCTCTTACTTTTATCTAAATGTCGTCTTTGATCCTGTCCTAAATTAACGTGTAATCTATTTGTTCTAGTTTTCTGTTGTGGTTGATCACTTAACAATGTTGTAATTCTCTAATTATGCGGCATAGAAGCCCACGCTGATTCGAATCTTTGCTAAATTCAAGTACATTTAGTTTTATCGGGCTATGATCAACAGTTTTGTCTTCTTCTCCAATTGTCGCAGTGTCACTGCGACGAAAATATTTCCGTAAAGTTTTAAACATGTTTTAAATAAACGCTAAATGATTTTGAGTTGTGCCCCTAAGAGCCTGCGATGAAGTCTGGGCTCTGAAGTGTGGCGCCTTCGTCGTCTTCAGCACAGCCACCAATTACTGCACGCAGAAAGAAAGATAAAAAAAAACGAATTAACTTGGGTTTTGCACTTAGTGTGGCTACATTTCAGCTCTGAAAATTAATAATATTGGGTTGACTGTCAGGTGACGAACATTTATCACTGTAGGAGGACGGGTGGTTAAGTGCCACCGCCGAGTGTGGATAACGGGTCACACGAAGTGATCTCGGAAGCAGTTCTGTGATATCTCCTTCCTCATACCGTTCTAGAGAAGTGGCACAGCCTCGACGTACGTGGAGACGGAACATCTGACCAATAATGGCAGACTTGGCTGAAAAGACAGTGACGCTACGCCCTGCAAGAATTCCGCACGGATTTGTCTCACGACACACGACACTGATCGCACCAGAGGGACAGGACTGCGCAAAGCAGCGTGGATTAAAAGTTCGGGTGAATTGCGCCGTTGACTCACGCCTTTGGCTCTTTGCACTTGCAGGGAGTACCTGGGAAAGCAACTCCAGAGCCAGCAGGGCTCCATTCCCACACGGAGCTAGAACAGCGTCGCCACCTCCACCACCACCGCCACCACCGTCGCCACCGCCACCACCGCCACCACCCTCACCACCACCGCCGCCGCCGCGACCGTCACCACCGTCGCCGCCACCGCCACCGCCACCACTGCAGCTCCGCACGAGACTGGGACTGTCCTTCAAAACTGCTGCCCTGGTGACGGCGGTTCGTGTACCTCCTCTGACTCGTGGAGTGTTACATCTAGATTGGAGATCGTTGCCTCTGTAAATGTATCTGTCGGTTTCCCTGTCAGTTTGTTTTCCTTCAACCTCTTTAATGGTCATCATCTTAGAAGCCAAGAGTCGCATTGTCGAATGGGCTCCCCGTGCACCGTACTTCCATTCTGTGCCTCTTCTCTTAGTCACATCCACTATCCTTATATAGAGATCAATAGACGTACAGATCCGTTAGACTCACGTATACACTTACATGACCCATATATATATTTACACAGAGAGCCATAGACTTGTACAGAGATCCATAACTTACACGAGGTCCCACAGTCACACATTTACATGGACAACTTAGAGACCTATGCAATTACTTCTTCAAAGCTAGAAACTCCATTATTGCATCATGGGCTTGGATGCTCGGATTTTCTTTCTTCAGCTGCTGCTTTTCTGTGCCCCATCTCGAGTCACGTGCTGTCGTCATATCTCATCCCACCTTGTCCTCCCATATTATCCTCGGTCTCCCACTATTCCCTCTGCTCCACAACAGCATCTCATATCCCTTCGAGTCGACGGGTCTCCGTGACGAGTTACTTGTCGTGCGGATGTCTTCAGGTTCACTTTCCTTAATCGGTGCAGGATATAACCTCCGCCAGCGGATGCTCGGTCGGAAATAAAGACGTGTGATTATTGTCAAAGGTTTGCGATGATCAGTTTTTAATCCTTTGCGTGAAGATGACGAAAACAACAACAACAACAGAGCGTGAGCAATGAGGCTGTGCAAAGCAGTGGGCAACACGTCGGGACAATAAACAGGGAAGCAAGAAAACCAAAATGATTGACAGCTTGCAAACGCGTACGGAGCAGGGGTAAGAATAGGGACACACGAGAAAGAGAGAGAGAGAGAGTGAGACAGGGCAACTTGGCGCTGGACCCGAGGGCTAACGAGACGCAAATGAGTCCCAGTGGAGGGGACGAGGATACCAGGGTCACCGATTTACGGATCCCACAAGACCCAGGTGGAATTGCACCTCATCTCCACTGCAACAACCGAGTCGTGCCGAGCCATCCCCGGTGGTCGTGGCTCAGGATGTGCCAGGTTGGTTTTCCACTGCGGGAGCCGTGCCGTGCCGCCGACGGCACACGCGGTGAACGAGTCGAGGCGCGTGTTTGTGACGCAGCGACGCAGCGGTATCGACCGACGTCGCGCGTGCTTACGGCTTCACGTCTCAAACATCTGTCATGCAAATAAATATTTAAACTAAGCAGTTTTATTTATTCATTTACCAGGCAAGGCCCGCTGAGCTATGTTGCTCTGTTTCACAAAGCCGCCTGGTCACAAATGATAGCTCAACGAAGTGGCTCATCATGTGGACATGTATAGCAGCCAAATACTCTAAACGCGTGATGTTGATTCTAAAAGTGGAGTCGAAAACCGGACGACCCGGAAAAAAATCCACGTGACCACGGGAAGAACACGCAAACTCCAAACACAGGGTGTTTTAAAGAGATGGACCCAATTTCAAAACAGTATATTTCACAAATCGGGTTCATCTTTTTCAAGCATCCTGTATATAGGCGTCAGTATCGAACTCGCAACCTCCTGTATTCCAGGCGAGGTAGTTCATAATCAAAATATGTATTTATTCCGGAGGAATCCGATGAGCTATAAAGTTCACATCTCACCACTGCTGGGGTTGCCCATCCAAGCTACAAACCATTCTCGAACCTGCTTAGCTTCCGAAACATGACCAGATGTAGTTCATTCAGGCTGAATCCGTTGCAGGAAAACTCAAGATCAGTCTCTGCGGCAGATTTCTTGCAGTGGACTATTCACGATGCAGTATCATGTACAAAACTAAAATATATCGATAGCAATCGAGCACAGCGCTAATGGTAGAAACACATTCGGGTTGATAGAGCTAAAAGCCCTCTTTTTATCCTGCGCACCAAATTAAAAATGTTTTTTTTTAATCGAAAATCCTTCAAGGCGCACAAGCCTTGTTACTGAAACATTACATCTGGGTGAAAACAATAAGTGTGACTTAATTTAAACCCAACGCGAGCGGGCGAGGCATCAAAGCGACGATCGACAGGATGGATCAATGGAATACAGTGAGGGAAAAAAGTATTTGATCCTCTGATGATTTTGAACGTTTGCCCACTGACAAGGAAATGATCAGTCTATAATTTTAATGGTAGGTTTATTTGAACAGAGAGAGACAGAATGACAACAAAAACATTCAGATAAACGCGTGTCAAAAATGTTATTAATTGATTTGCATTTTAATGAGGGAAGTAAGTATTTGACCCCCTCTCAATTAGAAAGATTTCTGATTCCCAGATGTCTTTAATACAGGTAACGAGCTGAGATTAGGAGCACACTCTTAAAGGGAGTGCTCCTTATCTCAGCTTGTAAACCTGTATAAAAGGCACCTGTCCACAGAAGCAATAAATCAATCAGATTCCAAACTCTCCACCATGGCCAAGACCAAAGAGCTCTCCAAGGATATCAGGGACAAGATTGTAGACCTACACAAGGCTGGAATGGGCTACAAGACCATTGCCAAGCAGCTTGGTGAGAAGGTGACAACAGTTGGTGCGATTATTCGCAAATGGAAGAAACACGAAAGAACTGTCAATCTCCCTCGGCCTGGGGCTCCATGCAAGATCTCACCTCGTGGAGTTGCAATGATCATGAGAACGGTGAGGAATCAGCCCAGAACTACACGGGAGGATCTTGTTAATGATCTCAAGGCAGCTGGGACCATAGTCACCAAGAAAACAATTGGTAACACACTACGCTGTGAAGGACTGAAATCCTGCAGCGCCCGCAAGGTCCCCCTGCTCAAGAAAGCACATATACATGCTCGTCTGAAGTTTGCCAATGAACATCTGAATGATTCAGAGGACAACTGGGTGAAAGTGTTGTGGTGAGATGAGACCAAAATTGAGCTATTTTGCATCAACTCAACTCTCCGTGTTTGGAGGAGGAATATTGCCTATGACCCTAAGAACACCATCCCCACCGTCAAACATGGAGGTGGAAACATTATGCTTTGGGGGTGTTTTTCTGCTAAGGGGACAGGACAACTTCACCGCATCAAAAGAACGATGAACGGGGCCATGTACCTTCAAATCTTGGGTGAGAGCCACCTTCCCTCAGCCAGGGCATTGAAAATTGGTCGTTGATGGGTATTCCAGCATGACAATGACCCAAAACACACGGCCAAGGCAACAAAGGAGTGGCTCAAGAAGAAGCACATTAAGGTCCTGGAGTGGCCTAGCCAGTCACCAGACCTTAATCCCATAGAAAATCTGTGGAGGGAGCTGAAGGTTCGAGTTGCCAAACGTCAGCCTCGAAACCTTAATGACTTGGAGAAGATCTGCAAAGAGGAGTGGGACAAAATCCCTCCTGAGATGTGTGCAAACCTGGTGGCCAACTACAAGAAACGTTTGACCTCTGTGATTGCCAACAAGGGTTTTGCCACCAAGTACTAAGTCATGTTTTGCAGAGGGGTCAAATACTTATTTCCCTCATTAAAATACAAATCAATTAATAACATTTTTGACACGCGTTTATCTGGATGGTTTTGTTCTTATTGTCTCTCATTGTTCAAATAAACCTACCATTAAAATTATAGACTGATCATTTCTTTGTCAGTGGGCAAACGTACAAAATCAGCAGGGGATCAAATACTTTTTTCCCTCACTGTATGACCTTTTCCCCCATTCCAGGAGAAGTCGCCTCTCCCCGTTCGCCTCGAGGCATTTCCCCGCTGTCGCGATTTGTACACCGCGCCTCGCCCGTGCCACCACGACGCTGGCGAGGGAGGGAGGGAACGGAGGGAGGGGAGGAAGGGAGGGAGGGAGGGGAGGGAGGGGACGGAGGGAGGGAGGGGAGGGAGGGGAGGGAGGGAGGTCAGCGTGCGTCGGAATGACGGCACGCGCGTACGTTTTTCCTGCCAGTGTTATTCACAATATTTTTTCTTTCGGGGCTAGGCCACGTAAGTGATTATCTGACCAAATTTGTGTTCGAGATGCCGCGGCGGTTGACACGGTTTAATTCTGATTTCCTATGTTGATTTTATTTTGACTTTCTAGTTGCAGTGAGGTGCTCTGAATGAAACCTATCCCTAAATGTTATTTTGTTTGTTCCGTCTTCATTTATGCGAGCAAACACGCCAAGACAGGTGCACGCCATGAAAATTATACTGGGAGTCAGAAAATAACAACGCGTGGATCAAAGAATGATTGCGGGTTAGAGACACCACATAGTCTATGAATAGTGATTAACTGCGAAGCTTGGGCAAGGGACACATCGTGGCCAGAAGGGATGGTGGCTGGCTCCTCTCGACTGACGTTGGCGAGGCAGCCAACGTCGTCTCGAGGAGAAATCAGATAAGAAACTTGAAGTTCGAGTGCCGAAATAGAATCCGCTTATTATTTGTATCCCAAAATATCAACAAACACTTCACAGCGACCAGACACAAGTGCAGATATTGTTGAGATATGCTCACACTTTTTGAAGAACCCACGAGAAGTATCACGCAATGCGCTGCTAGCGCGCGGCACAAAGCAAAGCGAGCAAGAGCTTCGTGCCACAATCGACTCATGGGGGACTCACCAAGCAACAGAGAGCACGGAGTTAACTCCAGACGACTGGAGCCGCGACAGAGAAGCGACGTTCACCGCCTCTGCGTCGAGAGACGGACGGGGCTCGACGAGGAGGAGGTCACTCGAGACCGAGCGGATGTCGCGACGCTAACTTTTTTACGGTTGACCCAGACAGTGAGCACTTGGTGACAAGAGGACAGAGACTTTGTTTACATTTCAATCATCTGGCCGCACCTCTATCTTGCGTGTATTATCTCTTCTGTTATCCGACTTAGGACGTTGTGCATCGAAAGGGGGCACCAAATGTAATGTCTGCCCAATGGGCCAGCGCCACCACTGAGGCGACAAATCTCTGTATGCACATTAGTCCTGTTCACTCTGGCTGTAGCTGAATCTCGCAGCGCTGCCACGACCGACAGGTCAATCCGACGTCAACGCCACAGCAGGAAGTCTTCGCGACCGTTCAACTGCTTCTGGTCAGCAGTTGTCCTGAATAAATACCATCGATCCAATCGCCGGAGGAGACCAATTTCCGCACACTTACGTGTATCGAAATTGAAAAATAAAATTACTTTAGTCGGTCGCAACAATTGAAACATCACTCAGCTGCCTATGCAACGGTCACAGCGACTGATGCACGGCTCCCGGCACATTATTTTTCTTTATTTCCTCTGGCATGCAGCAGTGGAAACCCAAGTGGTTTTATTTTTTTACATCGTGAAAAATGAGTACCTACGAAAAAAAGTATTCAACTCTGTCGGGGGTGAAGGTACTGGGCTTCCGATGGAGTATTAAACAGTCACAGCCTTCACCCACCAGTCGTCGGCGCTTGCCAAAAAATCCATCTCGTCGGTGAAACGGCAAAGAGTATTTTAAACTTTTTCCATTAAGAAAGTACGATTTTTTTTCTTAGTACATTTCCAAATGCGTACACGAATAACTACATGGTGGGGAAGGTCAATTTGACAACATTTGACCAAATATTTGATGGGAAAAAAACCCCAACATGACATGTGAGTAATTGGATTTGATGTAGTGCAAAGCTCTGACATTGGCGGCGAGTAATATTTTAGAAAACAAAATTATAGAGAGAGAGCTACGCTTGAATAAACTCCCGCAATAGCGGGATGCGGA